GATGTGGTCCCAAATCCCCACGTGTGCTTCCCGTGGCACTGGATATTGCCTTTGTGTGACAGGAGTGGCGCCTGGCCTCAGGTCCACCATGATGAGTGCGTGATTTTTGGCTAGACCTGGGGGCCCCTTTTCTGCTCAGACAGTTGGGAACCCTTCTAACAGACTAGTTGGATTTGTTCTCTTTCCAGAGAATAGAGACGCCATTCGTCCTCCCTGGGCACAGTCACAGCCATCATTAGAGCAGGCCGGCTCCTCAGTGTGAGACTGGTGGGCTTTCTGGAGGCAAAGGTGATTTGCGCTCCAAGTTTTGTTAATAAGTCTCTACCTAAAAGGGGGATGGGGCACTCTGGTAGATACAGGAACTCATGAGTTGCTAGGTGGCCCCGTAACTGACATGAGTGGACTTTACAGAACGAGCGAGTGACTTGGTCCCCCGTCGCCCCAACAATAGTTACTGTTCGTAACTATCCATAAAGAGAGCCACAGGTGCGGTTACCACAGAGTGTCCAGCCCCAGTGTCTACCGTAAAAGTCATTGATGGCCTCCTATTTCTATTGCGACCATAGGCTCCCGGGGGCCTAGGATCAGGGAGCACAGTCTCCCCTAGTCTGACTGTGCTTCGGCCAGGCCTATAAGATCTTGGAAGACTGGCTCAGCTTGGTATTTTCCTTTACGAGGTTGATTGAACTTCTTTGGCTCTTCAGATGTCCTCTTGTTCTTCCAATGGCCAGTCTTTTTGCAGTGGGCACATTGGTTGTGATGTAATGGTGGTCTCCTTTTGGTTTCTCCCTTCCGTGGGGGAGCAGCAGTCTGTTGTACTGGGCTTGGGTTCCCTAATGCATCTGCCAGCAGAGATACCTTTCATTTCATCCACTTATCAGCTGTCTTTTGGGCCTCCTGGTCGCAGTTCACAAACACCTTGTTTGCGACTTCTAGTAGTTGGCTGTTGTTCATCCCAGCAAAGTCTTCTAATATCTGAAGTTTGCGGTGGATGTCAGTTCAAGATTGAGCCACAAATGCCGCGTTGACCATACGTTGTTTTTTTTGCACTTAGGGGTCAAAAGGGGTATATACCCTGAATGCCTCACACAGTCTCTCATAGAACTCTGTGGGTGACTTCCCTGTCACTATCCAGTACATAGCTCTAACAGCGGGGAGGTCTAGGGTCCCTTTTGAAGGCCATCCTACCCTGAAGGCAGGCCATTCAAGCTCGCAAAGAGTATCCAGTTTTCTTGGAGTCATCTTGACCCTGTAATCTTCTGAGAAACCTTTCTTAAAATTTTTCAACATACAATTTAAGACAGTTGGCTTAGAGGAACCTCCTCCCATGCCTCCCGCAACAATAATCACGCCACACGGAGGGTTGGGGATAGGGTCGGTGAGTCTTTGGAGGGGACGTCACTTGCTTCGCCAGTCTTTGGCTGCACCCCTCGTGGGGATTTTTCAGATGCCTCTTAGCATTGATGGGTCGGTATGAACCCCCAACCTGTACTACTGGAGTAGACTGCTCATGGAGATCCAGTGGGGCCACCGTAAGCTGTATGAGAATCACCATGGAACCGCGGATTGGGGCTTAACTCTGCTTTATGGCAAGGCCACATTTCAGCCTCTCAGCATTCACCCTCTTTTGCACAACCGCCCACCATTCCTTAACTTGTTTGCTAACTTGTGAGGGCGCTTGGTTGCCCTCTGGAGGGTGATGGAGCTCCCTCCGCTTTCTTAGTGTTGACAAAACTCTTCTCAACCTGTGATGGTGTTGCAAAGACAAGAGTGTGGGCTCCCTCCAAAGAGGAGACCATTCAGATGCTCATCTGGCTGTGTCCCCCTGTGGGGAACTTAGGTGATGCTTAGACGTAGCAGACGCAGCTTTGTGACTTACAATCTGATACTAGTCTGATGCTGCCCTGGACTGTATGCCATTCACTACGGACCCACAGAGTGAGCCCAAACGAACTCCATGGCCTTTAGGGGACCTGAAGGGTGCTCAGCCATAGAGCTACAAACTTGTACCTGACCGCTAAGCCAACCAGTACACTTGTTCATTCACTCATTCACACACCAGGTTAAATCATTGCTTCCCCCTCTTGGAAGGCCTTGAGCTATGTCTTTCCCTCCTTTGGAAGACCCTGATGTCTTCCCCCACTGGGAAGACCCTGACCTGTGTCTTCAAACTGAAGACTAAGAGGTGATCAAGCTCCTCTTCCGTCCAGTGATGGGACCTGACTAGGCAGTTGTGTCTGGGGCCTTAGCTTATCCTGTGGCTGTTCCTGGTGAGTTGGTCCGTCCCTCCTGTGAGTCTGGTTGGGGGCTCAGCTGTCTGGAGAGTAGGAGTGCCAGTCAGAAAGAGAACCTGGAATGCCGTCAGGTGGCACGCCTCCCCGTTGGTCTCAGAGCCCCTCTTCCCTGGCCTGGCCGAGCCACCAGTCCAGCAGCTCAAGGGCCAGCATAGTTGAGAATCTTGTTGGGGCCCCCAGAAAGGTTGCAGAAAAATTGCGAAACTCAGATCAGCGAGAAATCAAGCCGTACTCGGAGGGTTGGAGAAGTCAGGTTTATTATGCTGGTGGTCCCAGAAGAGCTAGTGCTCTGAAAATCTGGGCCCTGAGCTTAGGGGCAATTTTGCTTTTATACTTGTGTTGTGACAGTTGGCATGGGCTGATTTACAGACCCTAGGAGTTGCTACGGGCTACAGGCTACGGGCAGTTACAGAGCAGGAGATTTTTTTTTTTTTATTTTTAAACAGGCACTAAGGCAATACATCTGTTCAAACAGGCACTAAGGTAATACATCTGAAGGGAAGGGTGAGTTCTCAGTTGACCCCGAGATCTTTGGCCTATGCAGTGAGCATGTTTACAGAAGCAGAACAAAGAACTGATTACAAAGTTAGCCATTTAAGTGGGAAATTCCTCTTCAACCTAACTTATCCTTTTCCCATTGATTTGCCTTGATACCTTTGTTGAAAATTAATTTACCATGTATGTATGAGTTTATTTCTAGAGTTTAGATTCTGATACATTAATCTACATGTCTATTCTTAATTCAGTTCCACACTGTTTTGATTACTATAGCTTCATAGTAAGTTTTAAAAAACTAACAGTACTAATTTCCTTGAGACAAATTACTTTCTTGCTCTCTAAAACAATCATTTTCAACTTTCAGAGATGATTTTTTAAATTTGTATCTCTTAAATTTTTTATATTGCTATTTGAGTTTTCAGCTTCAATTATGTACTATTTTCCTACTGTACATGATCATAATTTTTAGTTTTCATTCATGCTTTCTCTCTTTTCTATTTTCTCTATATTTAGTGATATTGTAATCTTGGTTAGATTAGTTATTTAATTTTTACATTATTATAATTATGAAAATTTCCCCAATTGAGCCATGTAGTAGCACTTAGATACAGTTTTTTTCTCTTTTACATTTGGTTTTTCTTAGATTTAATAATTATCTCATTTACTGTTTATTTTGCTTAATTTCTATGAACTTATCATGAATTCAACTTCATACTCCAACCAAGTTGTATAAATCTCTCAATATGTTTAGATAGTTGAAGTATTTTATTGTTTTCTGTAATCTTCTTAAAGAAATCACTCCTGGAGGTTGGCTGACAGCAAAGTCCAGTCGACACCTCTTTGCACTGTCCCACTGCCTGGCTTCGTCCCTGTCCCTTTCCTTGCTCACATTCACATTTCCGATGGAGAACTCTTCAAATAGAAGTTGCTTCCTTCCCTCCTTCCTTCCTTCCTTCCTTCCTTCCTTCCTTCCTCTTTTCATTTCTTAGTTTGTGTTTTCGATTTCCAAGAGCTCTTCTTTTGTTTTCCAAATATTTCATTTTTTATTACATGTAGTTCTTGTTTTATTGATGTTATTTCCTCTTCTGTTTTTCTGAAGACATTAGTGGTAATAATAGGTTGTCTCTCTCTTTAAAGTTATCTTTTCCCTGCATAATCTTTGAAAGCTTATTCCCTCCACCCAGCACTCAATTTGGTCTCTGTCTTTCTTATTAAATGCTTCCTAACTTCTGGTGATCTTTGGCTGTCTGTTCATATTTAAAGGTAGGGGCCTAAAAAGATGATCGGAAGCTCAGTGTGTGAGGCTTTGTGTTTGTGGCATCTTCTCTTTTGCTAGAGAACTCCTAGCATCAGCATCTTTTGATCTTTTTCACCTTACTGGTTAGCTTTTCTAAAGAACACCCTTTCAATTTCTTCTTTGCCATTGTTCTGGCAGACAAGAAGTGTTAGAAGACCAGGGTTCTCATTTATTATATAACTTTTTACTTGAGTATCTTGTTGTTAGTATGGAGCCCTTACCCCGTTTGTATCTGATGTCTCCAGTCCAGAGACCTGTTTTTTCCCATCCAGGGAATAAACCCCTAGTGTTTTGCCACAGTGGGGAAGAGATCAGTACTCAGTTGTGTGGTGTATAGGGCAGAGGATTTATGGATCTCATTATTTCTTTGGCAGACTTTCAACCAATTCTTTTGTTTTCTGTTCCACTTTTACCTCTATTTTCAAAGGTGTTGCCAATTAACTGAGCTTTTGAGACTCTGGTGTAAATCAGGTTGCTTTCTCCACTGTTGACTTTGAATTTAACTCTCTAATGTAAATCAGTTACCACTTGTCTACCTGCTTTCCAGCTCCCAGTATTTTAATGCTATTGTCTCATCTTCTGTGCTCTTTCTTCTTGTGGGTTTTTACCTCTAAATTCTCTTTGCTATTATATTAATTAAAATAACAGCTTGTGATAGGATCAAACAGCTGTTAAGTACCAATCTTGAACAAAGTGGTGGTTTCCCAGTGGACAGTGGTTTATTTCTAGTCATACACTGCTTATCATTTCTCCCTAGCTTTTGCAATTGACATCTTTACTAGATTGTAAGTCTCTTTAGTGCAAGGGTCATATGTTCTCTGTGTTTTTTGAAAAATAAGTTTTCAGAAATACCAGAAATGTTGGAAATATACCTAATGAGAATTATGTTTTATTATGATCTCATTTTTTAGGCTGAAGAATGCCTCATCTGAAGTAAAACAAATGCTTAAAAGTGAAACAGACTTGGATATTACCGCTGATCTCAGAAAGAAACTTCATCGGGCTAAGAAAGAAAAATTAGAAATAACAACTAAGCACAATGCAGAGGTAGAATGTATTTTCCTCTCAAATAATGTTAAAAGTAAGAGTTTGATTATTTAGATTCATTTCATATTACAAACTTCATGTTTAACATTTACCAGTATAACATTCTTGTGCTTAAAAAGTGAATTATAATAAAACATAGGATTTTTTTTTTATTGTATAGGAGTGTTAAAGTAGAAATTTAATGATTATGTTTATTTATATGTTGTTTTAAGTTTATTTTAGTGGGTTAAACTTAATTAAAAATATTAATTGATGAATTCGTTTGATGACTAAAGGATTTATGAATCAGATATTTTTGAAATGTTAATGTAGGTTCCTCATGATCTTGATCATGAAACAGTCTCTTAAATAAGTACATTTGCGTATGGAATTTTTAATCATAGTGTAATTCATAAATTTTTAGTTTATTTTTGTTTTGTTATGTTATTTTTTATTTTATTAGTATATATACACACATATATATTTTATATGTATATGTACAAATTGCAAGGACAGTAGTTATCTTTCACTCTAAGCCATAAATTATATGTTTATGTCTCTTCTGCCTGTTATTTTTTTTCTTGTTTTCTACTTTTTCTCTTTTAAAATTTTACTCATTTTTAAAGCTCAGCTTAGGCAACCTGGTGTAGTAGAAAGAATATTGAGTTACACAGACCTAGACTCATTCCTGGCCCTTTCATTTATAAAATGTGTGACCTTGGGTGAATTATTTATCCTGTACATTATTGGTTTCTCATTGTGAAATGCTGGCCCCAAAGAGTTGTTGTGATAATTAAGTGAATTTTATAAAGTGCCTGCGCACTGTAATAGTAGCTATAATTTATTGACAGTTAAGCATAAACTATGCTTTTCCTTCCCTTTTTACTAAATTCCCATGCTGTTCTGTCTTGAAATTTTTTAAAGCCTCCCTAGGTGACACTGATTACCTCTTTCCTCTTTCACAACATGTTGCCGTTACAGATATTTTAGAGCTGAAACATTTATTTCATGCTTATCTGCTCTTCCTTAGTCTGTAAGCTTCCTGAGAGCTGAATGCGTGACCATGCTTTTTCTGTCTCTCACACTGCTTTAAGCCCTCAGTGGCAGTGTTTTGAATAAATGTTTGAAAAAATGATTTTTTTCAGGATATCTAAAGAACAGTGGTTTCTCATTAAAATAACAAGCAATGAATATATGACTGTTTTATTTGTGTTTTTAGTGGCCCTTGAGGTAATTTAAATTGAAATATTTGCTTTTATTTGCATTTTAATATTCCAGACTAAATATAAACTGGTATTTGTTAAATTTATGCTGATTGTTCACCATCTCCAAACTTATTTTTGAAACTAAAATATACATTACTGTCATGATAATCAATCGTCTATTAAATGTATTCTTTCACATGTATTTGCAGTTGTCATCAGATTTCTCAGTAGAACACACTATTTATTGTTTTTATTTGATCAGGATGTTTTGAAGTATGTGTTCACATTAAAGAGACAGGAAATTATTTCAGGGAAGAAAGAATTTTCTCAAAACAGGTAGTGAGAATTGATTCAACTCCTGGTTTCTATTACTATTTATTCTTATTGTTTCAATCATTTGTTTAGATGATTTTACTCATATAGTAATTGGTTTAGCCATGTAATTTCCAAATACGCCCTTTGTAAAGCAAGTCAGAAATGAATGAAACCGTCTAAAAACTAAGGCCATATATTTGCCTTATCAGATATTTGTAATGCTAACACACATCATGCTGGGTGATTGGCATAAAGTATTTTTAAAATCGAAGTGTCCTTTAGTAGATGAATGGATAAACAAAATGTGGTATATACATATAATGGAATATTATTCAGCCATTCAAAAAGAATAAAATCTTGCCATTTACAATAACATGGATGGACCTTGAGGGCATTATGCTAAGTGAAATAAGTCTGACATAGACACATATCCTATGATCTCACTCTTGTGTGGAGTTTAAAAAACAAACAGAAATCTAAGCTCATAAATATAGAGGTGGGGTTGGGTGGGGTTTGGGTGAAATGGGCAAAAGGGGTCAAAATGTACAAACTTCCAGTTATAAAATAAATAAGTCATGGGGATGTCATGTACAGCATGGTGAATATAGCTAATAATACTGTATTGCATATTTGAAAGTTGCTAAGAGAGTAGATCTTAAAAGTTCTTATCACAAGAAAAACAATTTCATAACTATGCATTATGACAGATGAGAGAGGATAAAGAAGAGCAATATAACTTTCTTTAGTTAAAAGATCCTGCAAATGTAGGACCGAGCAATACACTTTTTAGGCTTCAGGACCTGATGATACTGTTTGACTGATTTCAGGCACTCTTCTTAAGAGCAGGGGTTCCTAAGCTGGGGTCCTCAGAAACAGAGAAATCAGGGAATCCATGTACTTGGATGGGGAAAATTACATTTTAATTTTTATTAACCTCTAACTCATATTAAGCATTTCCTTTAGTTATGAAGGGCTTGACCCAGTCACTCTTTCTTTTAACAAGTGATATCATTAGCAGTACTTTTAACTTTATTGTCATTAGAAATCATAGATACCTCAAATCAGTTATGGCAAATATTTTGAAATATTGCCTCTATTTGTCACTACTTTGAAATCACAGTGGTTATTAGACCTAAGAGTAAAGCTTGTTATTTAATGTTATTAAAGAAATGTATAGATTACGATATCACCAATTTGTTTTGTTATATATTTGCTTTTATATTTTGATTCTTTCTGTTATCTCATGTATTTTATTTTATGCATTTAATTACATTATTCTGAGGAGGCTTTGCCAGGTTGCCAGAAGGGGTCATGGTACAAAAATGGTGAAAAACCTTTCTTTTAGAGGCTAAGACATGCTATAGAGGACGTAAAGGAAGAAGGAGGATGACAGTGAGAGGAGGTTCTAAGATAACTGTTGAGCATAAAAACTTAAAAGAATGCAGATATGTTTTAAAAAAGAGGGAGATAACATTTACTGCTGTTGCAAGTTTTAGTGCATGTGTTGAACCTTAAGTGAGAAAACAACCTCATGGGCAGAGGACATATTTCCATCAGCTATGTGGATAGTTCTGGAAATCAGATAAGGTCCAATAAGAGAAACAGAGGGGCATTAGCAGAGGGAATTGGTTGTACTGGGAATGGAAGACCTAGGAATCTACACCACCAACTCTAGGCCAGAGGGCCGATGGGAGGAGATGAGGTTACCAGAGTCTAGAAGTTGGGGCTTTCTGGTGGTGGTAGAGCCATGGTAGGGGCTCTTCAGCCAGGGTTGGAATGGTGGAGGGAAGGGATGGGGAGCTGGAACCTCATAGCTACTGCCAGAGACACTGCCAGAAATAGAGCCATTTGGCAATGGAGCATGGGAATTTTCGTTCCTATGACATAATAGAGCAAAAGAATGGGTTAGGGAATGGATTTGAGATCAAATGGACAAATGATTGGCAATCCACACCTTTTGCTCTTCAGCATTCATTATCTAATGGTTAATTGCTACCATGTGGTCTTTGCCACTCTGGAAGTGCACCATTTCAATTGAAATCGGGGAGTCCATCTCAGTGGTGATATATCCCACCATTATCTCCACATCCACTTTAATTTTTGGTGCATAAAGGTCAGCCACCAGAGCTTTCTAAGGATGCTTGTGCTGCCCTCTCCAGTGTAGTTTATAGCATTTTAATTGGGGAAAGAATGTCTTTGGGTCCTCCAATAGGACGTACCTTGGGAAAGAGGAGGTTTATGGCTTGCTCATAATAAAAGTACTCCCATCTCCTTAAGTCTTCATATTATGTCAGGAAAGTACTGGCATTTTGACCTTATTAAATGATTGTGGGCTGATGCTGAAATCAATTTACAGTCTCCTGTCCAAGCAAGATGTTAGAGCAAGCTTATTAAATCCAAATCAATCATATACCTGTGTCTGCACTCCTGCTGATACAAGATTAGCAAAATCTTGCAATTCTTTTGATATATCAGCTATTTTCTCATGGAGCTGACTCTGCATTTCTCTTCTTGTGGCATACTGAGTTCTAATCTACCGACAAAAAGTTGTGGAGGTAGGTCTTGCAAATCCTCTTGCAAGACAGCTGCTTCAGGTGTTGTCATTACTAAGTCTTTCAGGAATGGGAGACTAGTTTTCTCAGACAGGGAGGAGAGGCTGTTTGGCAAGCGATGTCCAGGGGGGCATTTGGGAGTTCACAGTTTTCAGGTTTTTCTAACTCCAAAAACCCTCATCCCATCTCTTTCTTTCCTACCTAATGTCCAACTGATACATAACATCTTAACATTAGAAGCTTGGTGAGACTCTATTCAATTCGTATTGTAATTCTGCATTCCTCAGAATTAGATTTTCTTTCTGGTCCTTAGCCTTTTTGGCCTGGGGCTGCAAAAAGTAAGAGATTCTTTAAAAAGTCAACATAGAAACATTCTGTTTTTCCGACTATCTTGAGCTAAAATTCTAAGCCCTGAAATCATCATTTTGTTTTTATGAATTCTCTAGCATAGTCAGATAGAGCCTTCCCACCCCACAGGTCTTACTGTAAACAATATTGCCATTATGGTCAAGTGCAGTTGCTACTTCATTTCCCAAAGGTTTGTCTTCAACCGGCACTTTATTCTAATCAACTGCACATGATAATTTAAAAAATTGTGATCCTACTGTATACCATGGATCACCAGGTCCCATTTCTGCCTGCAAAGAGTCTTCATTGTATTTAGGTTTATAAAGATTCTCCACGCAATATCAGAAACCCATCTTGAGACAACAGCATTACTTGGTGTCAAGGAAATAGAAACCACTCTAGGTCTTTTAGCTAGAAGACATTAGTAGAGGGAATAGATTTCACAGGTACTAGAAGAGCTGAAAGACAAATAGGGGATGTTAAGCAACTCAGAGGGTAGCACTATTAGGAAGCTTCTTTCACTCCTAAGGTTGATAAAAGCCAGAACCATTTAGAGAGAGCTAGGGCCATGGAAGGAGGGACTATCCGGAATGATTTGCAGCTACAGGGAAGATGGAGATAATGCTCCAGGTAGACCTAGAGAAGGCGAAATACCCTGCCTACTTTTCTTCTCCCGGCCTCAAGTACGCAGGTGTCTCTAATTGGCCAAACCTGAGATGCCAGTTAGTTGTCAAGGGAGCCTGGGAAATGTAATTTCTGTGGTACAGAGTGCAGCTGGAGAAGGGAGGGGATCTGAGGGTGAACAAGTAAATGACTGGCACAACTGGGAATGCTCAAATGTTAACAACTTTATTCTTACGAGGGTAGAGAGGGAGTGGGCAGGAGGGATGGAGTTATTCTGAAACAGTTATCTTTAACATATAATTAAGGTGGTTCTATGATTTTTTTCTTTAATTATTAAAAGATTTTCCTAAGTTCTTATTTTGTAAGTATAAGTGTTTTGAAGACATTTGCTTTTCTAAAATTTTTAAATTGGAAATTATTTTATTCTTTATGAAGGAAAGA